AACTCACCTCATTACTTTTTTTTAATAATAATTCAAAACCAGTAAGTAACATTAAGTACTCATAATTAATGAAAATCATAAATAAAAAAAAAATGCTTGATTATTAGTTAAATTATTATTTTTTGGAATTTAGTAAAATCAGCCGCGTATAAATATACATATTTTGACGGGGAGGTTGTTGAACGCTAAACCTCCCCTTGTATACGCTCCTGAGTAAGACGGTTACTTTCTAAAAGTAATTTAATTATTTACACAACTAATGTTCAATAATTTTTTTTTTTCAGATAATTATAACTGTCAATCGTGGCCTATAAATGCTGCTAATGGTCATATTTGTACGGCGTTCAGTGACTCGTCTACAGACAGTAATGAAAAATGTTATACTGCCATTACGGGTAAATATAATTTTTGTTTATTTCATAAAAACACGATTATTAATAACTTATTATGTGGACATCTACAGTCAATGAAGACGAAGTAAGAACTTTGTGGCTAGATAGTCAAAGTCATTCTTCGACCTCGACGTCAGACGAAGACTTCACTTGGCAGTGGCCCACCAGCTTTTGGACACAATTTAAAGTAATATAAATTTACTACTGGTCAATAATAATTTTATTAAGTTATTAATACAATAACGTTCTGTTTTTAGGTATTGAGTCAACGGAATTTTCAAGAAGCACGTCCCCAAATGCTAAGTACTTTAAATTGGGTGCAAACTATTGCACTCGGCCTGTTAGCCGGTCTTTTGTGGTTTCAACTTCCACGTACCGAACAATCTTTGCATAACATCCAAGGATGGATGTTCTTTTCTACTACCTATTGGATGCTTTTCGCTCATTTCGGTACACTATCATCTTGTAAGTAAAAAATATTTGAATAATTGCAAACGCTATGTTTTCTAACTAATTTACCTACTGTAATATTGTACAATCAAGTTCCCCCGGAAAGAGAAGTTATTAACAAAGAACGCCAAAGTGGAGCATATCGTTTGAGTGCATATTATTTGGCCAAAATGGTCGGCGAATTGCCGCTGACAATTACCTTGCCAGCCGTCTATCATCTGATCTCCTATCCAATGCTCGGCATGCATAGTTTTAGTACGTTCTTCACTCTACTATTGTTTCTACTATTGAATACCATTGTTGCCCAGGTAAATAATAATAATAGAAATATTTTTAAATATGAAATAATTTATTATCTAGTTGGATACCTACTAAACAAATTTGAATTTACATTTTTCAGAGTGTTGGGTTTTTCGTGGGAGCATTTTGTATGGATATGCAAGTGTCAATCACAATCAGTGCCTTGTATACACTAGCAACACAACTTTTTGGTGGCTACTTGGCAACAAATATTCCTAGTTGGTTGCAGTGGATGCAATATCTCAGTATGGTCCATTACGCATATCAAAATATGCAGATCGTAGAATTTAGCGATGGAGAACTAATTAAGTAAATACAATTAAAATAAATTGTCAAATTGTATGCACTATGGACTCTAGTACCTATGTTTACATTTTGGTTTATTTTTGTTATTTAGATGTGATCCTGTAAAATCTAGGTATACAGTATGCGACAATTCCACTAGTGGAGTTATACCAGCATCTGATATTGTTAATGCACAAGGTGCATCGTTCCCTCTATGGCTAAACACGGTGATTTTGTTTGGCTTCCTTATCGTGTTCAGATTGTTAGGTTATCTAGTGTTGCGTTTTATCCGAAAACCAAAGTAAATACCTAAATAATTGTTAATGGCTGTGAGCGGTTAACATTTTTTAATTATTAATCGTTTTATAAAACATAAATATGGCTGTGTCATTTTAGACATAATAATATTTTTTATCTCGTTATAAATATTAAACTTAGAGACTCGTTTTTCAACTCAATAATACCCCGAACTCATTTCCTAATACTAAAATTTGGTGCTTGTACCTATTTTGATCGGATTTCGGGAAAAGCGGTGTGAGATGTGTTTTATGTATAATATATGTCGCGCTGTTTTAATTTTTTTTACTACATCGTAATAATGTTTTAAAATGTTGCATAAAAATTATTTTAAGACTTTAATTACCTATTTTTTTAAATTTTTAAATATCATTGTATAATTATTATTGTTTTATTGAGTCGAACGTAAAGAATTTGTTTTGTCACAAATACTTCATTTTGTTATTATATTATACTGTTCGCACAGATTTTCGTTACTACTTAGATAATCACATTTTTAATTTGTAATTTAAAAATGCTTTATTAATTTTAATTGAATCACTATTCACCGTTATTTTATTTTATAGTGTATGAATTATACATTTTATTTTTTTTTTTAATTATAAATATTGTATTTATTTTCAATATGTTTTGTTCTTATTTATTACCATTTAAGCGGTACAAAAAATGTTAATTTTGTTAATAGGTATATATTTTTTTTTTTTTTTTTTTTAATTTAATAGTTTTTGTAAGCAATAATAATTTCTAACTACAGTATCTGTAATTTTTGACTGGCCTGTATAAAGTCATTTGTTTTTATTGTAATACAATATAAAATGTCTATTATTGAAAACAAGAAAAAAGAATTTTTTTTTAAAATTTAAAAATAGATACTATCATTTCAATTAAATTTGTATTAAAACACTGCCAAAGTAAACCTAGGTATATTCTATATAATATAAATAATCAATCAATTTTGTTTTTATAAAGAGTTTACACTATTATCTTTATTGAATACCTAGTGAAGATAACATATGTTTAAAACTTATGCGTTTATATAGGAATTTGTATTATTTTTTCGGGTGGAAAATAATATTAAATAATATTAAATAATATTATTAATTCATTAATTAATTATTAATTATAATATTATTATTTAATTCATTAAACAGTATTGTTAAAAGCTTAAAATTGAATTAACGATAAATTTAAATTTTCATTTCAATATTGATTTTCCCAGGTCTAAAATAAAAATGTATAAATACATAAGTACGTTCTGTGTTAGCTGGTACACATCATTAATTATAAATACTAATTACTATAAAAACTAATGTCTAATATTATTATTAAATACAATACCTATTGTATTAATAATCAGTGGTATGTGTATATGTTATATAATTTAGATACATCATGTGTTCATATTATGTAAATGCAGTATACATTTTTTTTTTTTTTAAATATTGTAATTATTATTTTTTTTTATTGTTGACAAATAGTGATAAAACAACAAAATATAATGTTAATGGGATTATATTATTGTATATCATAACCGCAATATATAGCAGATTCTCATTTAGTATGTAGTAGTACCTATAATATTATAAGAAAATATATATTTATACTTATACTAACTTACTGTTAGTATTTTTTGAACTAGTAATTTGGATGGATAGATCTATAATATATTATAATTGCATATGAATAAATAATCGATAGGTTTACCTATTCCTATATTGTTATACGGCCTTATTATTTTATACATCAATAACAGCCGAGAATTTGTAAAACGAGTAAATTTAACTACCTTACTATTACACCAATGAAGAATATTTATAATATTAACCCAATATAGTACTAATGTACTAATAAAATTATTGACTATGTATAGGTATGGTTATACGAATATAATTTCAATCTTACACAGATAAAAACAGATGATAATTATCAAGGGCTCTTAAGTTCGTGCACTAATAATTGTCAAAATATGGACTTGAAAATTCTTAAATATGCAATTATATGCACTAAAATTAGCTTTATTAATGAATCTATGTTATATGCATGTATATTTTTATTGTCTTCATTTATCTGAAGACATTGAATTTATCTGAAATGATATGTTGTTTACCTAATAGTAAAACGTTTTTTGCTGGAAAATTCTATTTGACAAATTGTACACATCAAATCTTTGTTGTCAGTTGAAATATATCTGCAGTACATTCTGATATAAAATACTACAAACGATCTGCAAATCGCTAGTTTTACTCTCAACGTTGTTCCAAGGAAAAATAATACTTAAAAACGAAATCGAACACTTAATAACACTGAACACAAGAGACACGACTAACTACATAAAATCTATACAAAGATAAGAGAACTAGTAAACATAGCAATATACACTAAGTATTATAATCAGTAATAAATTCAGGTATACTCCAAGGTGGGGGACAAATACACCCCTCCACATTTTCATTCGACCCCTGACCAGTACAACCTCTAACAAAATCTATTTATTAAATGTATAATATCCGTTAAATTTTGCATAGAAATGATCAAAGAAAATGTGAGCCCCTCCCCCTGAGAAAACTCTTGGTTCAACACTGATTACGATTAAGATTACAAAAGGGTAAAAAGCATTGTATGTGTAAACAAATTTGCTACGACAAAAATAAATATTGATTGCTATCAGTGGCGGTGCGAAGTATTTTTGAATCACCTTGAATCACCGATTTAAATTTCCACCCAGTAACCATATAAATACATATGAATAAGCTATCATCGATAGTCTTAAATATAGTACTGTTGAAAAACTATTAAATATAATCCAAGTTTTAGTTAAGAATTTTAGAACCTAAACATACATTTATGTTAGGTATGTGTATGTATTATGTTTAACCTATAGTAAAATATAAGTACCTATAGTAATAATACATGTATTTAAACATACTTATATCTCTTAAAAAAAAACTTAAGTCACCAGTACTGGCCTATTTAATTCTATTTTAGGCATACTTGAAGAAATATAAAATATTTAAAAAAATATCGAATACAGATATGTATTGAATTTTATGGATCTGACTTTGACAAAATAAAAAAGTAATGTATTAATTACACATAAATATGTTTTTAGATATAACAAAAACCTCTAAGAATATCTAAGATGAAAAAAAATCTAAGCTATTTGCTGCTTTAGTGATTTCCTCAAAAATTATATTAAAATACTCTATGCTGTTTTTTCAGTGTTTATTTAATATACTAAGAAATTCAGTTTTAATAAATGTATGAATAAAATGAAGATTAAAACTTGTACCCTCGTAATTTGGTCACAACTGGTTCTAGAACAGAAAAGTAAAAACCAATTACTTTTAAACTAATCAAAAATGTATAATTTGATGTGGCTGATGGAAGTTGGAATGCGTGATTTCTTTTAACAGTATTTGCTTTTGAATAGATAACTTTTCAAGAACAATTTTAATTTCAATGAAATTTTTATCAAATAGCCGTATACATTTGTATTTTTCTGAATATATTTGGAATACATTTTTTTTTTTTTTTTTTAAAAAAAACTTAATTATTTCCTTTACAGTACTAATAGTATTTCTGATTTCAAGAATTGAATTTTGATCCCTAACTACTAAATTAAATTTATGTAAAGCACAATTTAAATAATAAGCAATTGGATATATTTTTCGTATAATTGCCTGTACAGTATTTCTTTTACCACTCATGGTTGAACAACCATCAAATTCTAGGCCAAAAAGTTTCAACATATTTAAACCATATTTTTCTTTTGATTCTAATATACTTCTTGATACACCTTCTGCATTCAAAACATATATTTCACTATATCCAATAAATTCCTCATGCACTACATAATTAATATCAATATATCTTACACCAATAGATAATTGTTCCTTTCCTGCAATATCTGCTGTTTCATCAGCCAGTAAAGAAAATGCAACTGAATTATTGACTTGGGATACAATATCATTAAGAATTACTTGACCGAAAACTTGAATAATTTCATTTTAAATTCTATGTGTACATATTTGGATTTCCCAAAGGCCGTGTCAAAATGATTCAATAAAATATTATCACCCGAATCAATCCGAAATTTCAATAAATCAACAAAATAACATTTGTCAGCAATGTTTCTTCTAAGGGCAATATCATGTTTGATATCAAAATTTTGTGAATGGTGTAAGAATAAAAGAACCTTGTTTACCTCTGTGTACATTAGGTTTGAATAAAACGCAAAATTTACAAAAAACCCCTTTATGTTTAGGTGAATAAATCATCCAGTCATACATTTCTAAGTACTTCAAATTAAATACACGTTTAGAATTTGATGCTATGTCATTTTTAAAATTATAATATAAAGTTGGTTTGTGTGGATTAATTAGTAAACTGTACTTTTTGTCTACTGGAATTTGATGAATATTAATAAAATCTCCAACATCTGACGATCATTGAATCATAATATATACTGTTAAATCGTTACTTACAACAAAAAAGTAATTAAACTAACATAATTATATAGAAACATTGAAAAAAAAAATAAAATGTTTAATAAATATTTAATCCTACACATAATATGTTCTAATAAAAATATTTCAATGAATAAAATTAAGCTTATACTGACGAGGTGTTGATGTCTGGATCGATTATGGTGCTGACACATGTACTACTATTAGTAGACGTGACTTGTGTATTACATATGTAAATATATTAATTTATATAGCATATAGCTTTGCTATTTTTATTTATGTACATAAATTAAAATTTATAATTATGCAATTCATTGTATTTGTATATTTATTTGCATTCGATTAAAAGAAAAAAAAAATTAAAAATCTAATAAGCAATTAAATATTGATAAAACATATTTTATTTAATACCTACAAAATACAATAAATAAATAAAATAACTTCCTTATACGAATAAAACATTTGTATTACTCACATAGTGTTGACACATCGACTACTGCAGTAACGGCTGGGTCATTAATATTTCCCTCTACAATTTTGTTGTCAATTTTTTATAGTTTTGGTTTTAAAATAATCTATAATTTTCGATTTTTACAGTTTTTTTCATCATCTAAAAAACAAACCAGTAATAAGATAAAATCAAACCATGTATCATGTACCATTTGGCATTTAATTATACTATCCAATTGTTTTAGTATTGATTTATAAATGCTAATGAAATCTATGTTATTAATTGCTATTAAAATGTATAATCTGTCTAGATCCATCTAATATCTAGTATATTTCACGTGTGAATATCATATAGATTACTTTTGTAAACTCACTCTCATAGGGACGCCCTTGGCTGCGGCTACGCCGCTACGTACGCTACGTTTGCTACGCGTAAAAAAAAAAAAAAAACAAAAACAAAAACAGAATAATATCAGTTGCGTTCGACGTGTCCTCGTGTAAGTCGCCTCGGGAGAGTGAATACAGTGACGACAGTGACGACGGGGCTTTGTTATTACTCGCGTTAGGCACGTAACAGCGATAAACGAAAAATGGAAATTGGTTCATGAACTGAACTACGGGACGAAACGTATTCGGCGAGTTTCATCGTGTCGTAAACAGACTGCGACGACGAAGACGGCATTCAAATTTAATGAACGCGTTTCTGTCTTGCGCGCAGTGACGGGTCGCGCGTCGCCCGAAAATACAGCCGATAATCATACGCGCCGGCGACGCGGCCAACGTCCGAAGCCGCGCACACGCCGGAGCATTTGGGTGTAATGTTAACGCCGTAACGTGACTGCAATGGGCCGCGGCGTGTACGTCGCGTCGGCTCGCGACGCCGTCCATCCGTCCGAGTGTCGGTATTTCGACGGACGTCAAAGGAACGTTACGTTACGACACGACGCTAGTGTAGGTTGCTCGCAGCGAATCACCCGGTGGTCGACATACTCGTAAATCGATTCGATATAACTGTGTTTTAATTTGTATTTCAATTTAAAAGAATGGAGTGGAATAATGAAAAAGTGTTAGATTTAATTGAGATGCACGAATATCAACCGGTACTACGGTTCCCGCAGGACCCGAAGTATTATAGCGATAAATTTGCGAAATTCGATGCTCGGGAAGAGTTGGCGGCTTGTAAATCGGTAGGAGACGTCGCGCACGATGACGGTACGCGAGAACAAAACGGTGAATGTACGACGGATGGACCGGCGAACAGCCGGTCCAGAGCAGTGCTCGGCCCTAAACGTACACGCCGGTCGTTTGCGACACGTAACAATCAGGCGAGCACGGATCCTTCGGCACGACTGTAGCACATGAGTGTAGACGTAAAGTCTACAAAGAGTGCACCCGATTGCGTAGCCATGTATCGTCTACTGTTGTCTTTGGTGCCGTGTCATTTGGACGCGCGTCAAACGGACGCGGCGGTTTTTTACACGGGACAAATCGGGCGCGCGGCACGTATTGACGAAACTACATTTCGAAGGCTTTGTTTTCGTTTTTTTTCAACTGTTATTATTAAATATAAAATCGAAAATAATATGTTCTCGGTACGGAAACGCGACTTGTTGCCAAGAAACCCGGTCGTAACACATAACACGACGTATCCGCAGCTACGTATCCGCCAGAATATCCCAATAAAACACCGATAAACTATTTTTCATAACAAGCCGATTGACGGGAATATTGTTGTTACCCACGTGCCGCCGTGCACAGCAACGTGCATTTCGAGGAGAGCTATGCCTGCGGCGGCATGACGAACCATCGGTACCCGTGTTCATTGCTGTTGCTCGTGACGGCGGTGGCCGCCGTCAACGTTCGAATTTCCGCGCGCGAGGTGTCCCGCACTCCCGGCAACGCGACCGGCGCCGCGGAGAAAACGCCCGACGATCAAAACAGTAAGGCAGCGGCCGACCGACTCCGCGACCGGATGATCCGGCTAACCAGTGAGCGCAGCAACGCGGTCGCCGCGTTGACCATCGCCCAGCAACGGGAATACATGTTGGCGTTGCTGGAGCGTGAGAAATACGAGTGAGACGACATTATCGATAGCTAATAATAACCCCGGACATGGCCGCCGTTTGGGGAGCGGAGGGGGTCCGCAGGGTACACCGTTGGCACGCCCATTTTCTCTCTCTCTCTCACTAATCGGTCTGGAATTAAAATTTACAATTGCGCCGATTAGCGAATAATATGGCCAATGCGTAAAAATTGAAATATATCAATAATCATTACATATGGGGGTGGACTAGGTAAAGCACATTGTTATCTATCATTTATTAGACGTGTACTATTGGTATGCACGACCAAAGCCATTTCCAACTTTCCCGATAACGTTTTTTTTTCCGTCGGTACGCATAAAAAATGATTGTTGTAATATTGTTATAATATCGTTGTAATATTCATTTGTTATCAAGCGACTATCAACAACAACAATATTGACCACGTCCGTCGACAGATTACCGGAAAATACATTCTTAAAATAGATTGAAAATAATATTTTCATTCATTTTTTTTAGATTCTGAGTGGAGCGAAGAAGCTTGTGGTTTTACATAGATGTTTATTTATTTTTTTTTTTTTTTATCTATTCTGTGAACAAATTCTCTCGGAGTTTTCTCGGCGAATGTGAAAAAACATTGGGCAGACTTAGGAAAACCGGGGAAATCGGTACAACATTAAACAAATATTATTAAAAAAAACATATAGAGCCTATTTAATTGTTTTACAATAATATGGCATATATATTCTCGACAAACCACCACTATCGACTGAACTCCGGTCAGAATCGGTTTCTCGTAAGCAATGGTCCATCGTTGCTTACGGGTATACATTAATTTACCTTAAAATATATTATACAGCTATAAGTATTTTTATTCCATAAGTAAGTCGGTAAGTCGGTTTTGTAAATAAATGTATAATTAACAAACGGCCCATAATTTTAAAAATAAATAATTACAAAATCCAAAAAATATAAAAAAAAAAATGTTCATGAAAATATAAAGCTCTAGTTCCACGCCGTACATGCGGCTTGCGCACAAAAGATGTATGCATTTACTATTGTGAAAACAAAATTGGTCCGCTTAGACTTTGGCACCCCTATTGAAAAACTCAAACGGACCGCCCTTAAACCCCAACCCCCTCCCCTCCCGGGACTGTCTTCGGTCCAGACCAATCGCCGATTTACGCTTCACCGCTCCGGAAATGCCCGGGAAAATAGTTTTTCCCACCAACGTCGCACAACAATGAGCGGGGTGGCCGTGCGGACCGCGTATTCATTTGTACAGTCGCCTTTTATTGTCTTCGTGTTGGCTGTCGCGATGTTACTAACGTATTGTTGCGCCGCGGCCGTAGGTGTTTGCACGCGACCACGGACAAGATGCGCAGGCTGGTGCACGGCATGCGACAAGCCGACGACGGCGCGTACCAGGAGACGTGCGACCGGAGACAGACGGCCGCCGTCACTGCGCGGCCGCTGGGCCGGTCGGGTCGCCGACTGCACGTGTGCCGCCAGCTGCTGGCCGCCGCCGAAGTCGGTCTGACGCGCATCGAGACCGACCGGCAACTGCGACACGCCGGCGGTCCGTAGACGACGGTGGAAATAGGCGCTCCTGACGTCGCAGTGAACGACGCCCGAGACACCGCTCCCTTCGTCGTTATTATTGTTATTATTATTATATTTCTGTTTATCTGTCCTTTCGCATGGTTAACCGTTTATTATTTTTTTAATGTACAAGCCGAAACATTCGTGTTCGAGTTGATCACGGAAAATGAATAAAACGATTACAATTTATATTTGTACGCGCTACGTTATGACCTGTTCGGCGGGGCCCACGTGATGGTAATATTATCTTTGCGAAGAAACAAACCGTAACAACAATACAGGAGGTCTAGTTTTTTTCTTTAATTGCCCCGGGGCCCTTTTCCATCTGGCTACGCCACTGCGTGGACGGGGAGGGAGGGAGAAGGACTGAATAATTAAATTTGATATTAACGATTGGCGAGAAAAAAAAAGACCGACATATACTCTGCACGATGGTGGGTGGACCACTGTTGTAGATGAGAAGTTGGAAACGACGAATGTCTTTCGATTAAGACGATATTTCCTTTCAGAAACGATGCCACACGTACGTGTCGGGGCAAGATTTCCGGTAGAAATTTTCGTAACAGTATCAAAAAAAAAAAATACACATATATATATATACAAACGCCTTTATGAAACCCAATATAATATTGCCCGCTACATTCGGAATCTAAAAAACGATGTCGAATAACGTATTGATTGCGTCTAATATATCTGCTTCTGGACCGACGACTGTGCCGGTCGCCGACGGAAGTCCACTCGTCTCGTAAGTCCCCTCAGGGACGCGCCTGCCTGCATCCCGCACCGCGTACCGGATCAGTGTGCAAGCTACGGCGGCACGAAAAAAATTATTGATTATCGTTTAATTCCCGGTCGGGCCGGACCGCGGAGTTCCGAAACAGACAGGCATAATTCGCACGATGAGTGCGCCGTTACAATAGATGGGAAGTCGGCGAGGTGGCGTATAGAGAGAAATGAAATGGACATCTGTACACGACGTTTAATCACCGCTAACAAAGAACGATTCTGAGCGGGGTTCGGTTGTACGTGTTTTGAAAGGCTATGGTGTTTACGGGTTTAATTAAAATAATACATTTCATACGTTTTCCTATTTTTTCCCATTTATTGGGAAAATCGAATAGTGATCTCGCTAAAGTACCACCCCGGTCGGATTTCCTTTCGGAAAAAATGATATACCGACCAGATCTAATATGTTATTGCAAACCTCATTTGTCATATTTTTTTTTTTTTTTATTGGAGCAAGAAGTATCAGTAGTAAGAGTATTTGGAAGAAGACACACATAAAATAAAAAAAAATTATAATAATAAACATTGTAAAACCAATACATTCCTCGCTCCAATCAGAATCTCAAAGACCGAAAATACCGTAATGCAGTCTGGTCTGGACCGTACAGAGCTCTAATGGCCAATCTCAAATAGCTTGTATGAAGGCGAAGGAGAAGAAGAAGAAATACAAAAAAAACATACCAGACTTAAATTGTTCAAGGTTGGGGTTTTGGAACACTTACAAGCGGTAATAGACATGCGCGACATTAATCTATACACTGTCATCGAGATAAATTAAAAATACTAAATAGACTTCAATAAATACACCAAAACTGTACTTGACTTTAGTGTATAATTAACGATATGCTGAACATTTTCGTAGTTATTATACATACAAATTACCTACCTGTGTGTAATTCACTATAATATATTATAATACGTGTATTCAATATTTATGTTACATGGTTACATGAAAAATGAATAAAACGCCCACTTGTTTTTTTGTGTGTGCAGTGTTTATTAGGTGTTGAGAATATTTTATCAAATATTAATAAATGTGTCTTAATTTTATAATTTGTAGTTATTCGTGAAAAAAAATTGGTATAAATCTAGTATAGCACACATACAGTTTTTCAAATATTTTTTTTTCTTAACAAATGTTTTGAAGTTATGGCTAGTGGTACAACTAGGATTCCATGGAGGGAGGGATTATAGTTTAATTTTTCAATAGTTCTTAACTCAATAAATATATAAATCATACTATATTATTCAAATTTATATTCCATACAAAATTTCATATTACACCTTAGACGTTATTTAATGTTTAAAAATTAAAAATATATACCTATTAATGATTATTTTTTTGATTTTATAAAATAATTAGTTTTCTAACCACCAAATGTCTAAAAATATCACAATAATTAAATTTTTCTCTTGTTGTATAGTGAACAAATTCCTTTTAAAAAAAATATGGGCAAGAATCGGTTACATACATAATTATACTTTTTACTTTTCAGTTTATTATCACATCATTATGATATATTATTTATCCGAATCTTACTAAATTCTAGTTTTAATAGTAAATTATGCATATTTCTTAATCAATCAGTATTTATATCTTATACAAATTAGTATACATAAAAGTTATTCACAAAATATTTTAGAACTGAAAAAATGTATACTTACAAAAAGCTAAATGCTTAGACTAGAAGAAAATAAGCGCAATAAAAAAAAAAAACAACAGAAACAACGAGTTTAAAAAATTACACATTACAAAACTTTTTACAGTCAAAAGAATTTATAAAGGGCTTTTTATTATACATTTTATTAAACACATCTTTAATTTGAATCTTTTTTTGTTAGAATAATTTTATTGGAGCGCATTGTTGAATTGCGACTATTATCTTTTACTACATCGTCGTTAGCGGAAGATAACCTTAAACTAATTTCTTAAGTATCACAATATAAATACAAATTTTAAATAGACAATATATAATTTACACTTGTGTTCATTACAATATGATGAAGTAAATGTATTTGCGCATATAACTTATGAACTATGGTAGAGATAAGAAATAACAGATAGGCTAATAGATGGCGCAAAAAGCGTCATTTTACTGGGAAGCATTACATATTCGACCCAAACTCCGCACTCCGCCAACTCATCTCAATTACCAGTCAATTACTTATATCGTTTATCTTATATCGTCCATGCTATTAACCGTGTGTGTAAACATCAAAATAAATAAATAAATGATAAAGTGATAACAAAAACAAATGAACAACATTCAACAATTCATTTAATTATTTAAGTTTATCTTCAATAATGTTATTATTTTGTTATGTTAATTAATTTCTTGTAGATATTTTATATTCTTTTTTTGAGTGACGTTTTACAAAGTACAGGTAAGTATATTGCGTTGTTCTCATATCGTTTGCTTTTGGTCAACAAATGGTCTCCCTCTCACTTACCCTAGAGGAAATCGAAAAGTGTATATGTATACAATGCAGTTCATTAAAATGGAAGGGACTATTAGTCGGATCATTAAAAAAGGTCATCGAACAAGTACACCCTTCATTAACAGCAAGCGATGAAGCATTGGAATATGTAGAAATGTTAGTAGTGCAATGTCTAGAGATACTTACTCTTCGGCCATCGCCTCCACACACTGTACATGATATTGAAGACCAGGTAAAACGATCATTCCCTAAACCAATAGATGAATGGGCTATCAAAGATGCTAAAGAATCATTTGAAAAAAATAAGAAAAAAAATCCATTAGTCTTACCTGCCGATAAAATTCATAATTTAATCCAAAAGGAAATACTACAATATAAATTAGACTATCAAGTTACACTTTACATAACGGCCGTTTTAGAATACATTGCGGCAGATATATTAAAATTAGCTGGTAATTATGTAAAAAATATACACCGTGTAGAAATTGGATTTCAAGATCTTCGTATTGCAATTTGCGGTGACAAAGTACTAATGGATTTATTTGGTCAGCATGATGATAATAGTGACTTGGATCTGTCCGATTTAGGTATAGACAAAATCCAACGAACTTCTACTACCTACGAAGAAGTAATTAGAGATCTCATGCACGATGAACGACAACTCGTTAGGGATTTACATTTAATTTTAAAAATTTTCAAAGAAGAAATTGATCGTATCATTCCAACAGGTAGTAGTCAAGAATTAGACAGTATGTTTAATAACATAACAGATATTTGTAAAGCCACTGGCCTATTTTTAAGTTCTATTGAAGATATTTTAGAAATTGCAGAAGACAAATCAGCTACGGTCGGGTGTTGTATCGAAGAATTAGCTGAAGCTGCTGAGTTTGATGTATTTGCACGTTATGCAAATGATATTGTAAAAAAACAATGCAGAAATATATTTTGGAATTTAATCGGTAAACCAGAAGTTTCAAATTTACTACAATCGGCTGGTTATGGTTTTAAAGAAGCAGTAAAATATTATTTTCCAAAATTATTACTTTTACCACTGTGGCATTGTATACTTTATTTTGAGTATATTAAAATTTTACATCAGCTTTCTCCTTCTCAACTTGATAAAGAATGTTTGGAACAAGTAGAAGGTATTTTGAGACCTCTTCAATTACAAATGACGTCTGCTGCAAACAAAGTAAACTTACCAGATAACGTCAAGGAGTTTGGACTCAAAATAAATGCTACTCCTAGACGATTATTGGCCATTGAGAAGTTGAATGAAATGCAAAAAGCAATTGACGGTTGGGATGGTAAAGATATGGGACAATGCTGTACAGAATTTATAAGAGAAGGATTACTTATAAAAGTTTCGAGTGGAGGTAAACGTTGTTCAGAGCGTAAAGCTATCTTGTTTGACGGTGTTCTACTTTTATGTAAATCTAACAATAGAAGAACCTCTGTTTCAGTCAGCTCTCAACTTGTTGGCGGTTTGTCAGAATTTAAATTAAAAGAGAAATTGTTTATTAGAAAAGTGGAAATTATTGATCGAGAAGATACAGAAGAAACTAAAAATTTTTTTGAAATAGCCCCTCGACTTCAACCGCCAGTTATATTGGTGGCCAATACTTTTCAAGACAAAGCTAATTGGATGGCCGACTTAGTTATGTTAAACACTAAAAGTATGTTGGATAGGACTTTAAACAGTATACTCCTTGATGAAGATAAAAAATTTCCTTTACGGTTGCCTTCAATTGAAGAATACAGATTTGTTGAACCTGATTCTCGTTCAAACATAATTTTTGAAGAAAAAGAAAACAATGGTGTTCCTCTAATTAAAGGTGCCATTTTACTAAAACTTATAGAACGGCTGACATATCATATATATGCAGATCCAAAATTTGTAAAAACATTTTTAACAACATATCGAAGTTTTTGTTTGCCTCATGAGTTATTGGATCTTCTTATTGAGCGTTACAATATCCCTGAGCCTTTTGGAATTACTATGGATTCAATAAGTCTTAGGGATGAAAATAAAAGGTTCAAAAAGGAATATTTAATACCAGTTCAATTTAGAGTATTGAATGTTATTCGACATTGGGTCGATTATCATTATTATGACTATCAAAGAGATCCAGATTTACTTGATAAATTACATACATTTTTATATTCGATTAATGGAAAATCAATGAAAAAATGGGCAGATTCTGTTATCAAAATAATGCAAAGGAAAACCACCGAAGCTCAAAAAGAAATAACATTTGCATTCGATTCGCCGCCACCACCTATTGAAGTTCATATGGATTTTAACGGAAACGATG